ACTGATCAGTGGCTGATTCCAGGAAGCTGGGGGCAGAGCAATTCTGCCTCCAGCTTCCTGTAGTCAGCCCCTGGTCAGTTTCAGCAGCAGCGGCTGAATCTGGAGCCAGTTCCGACTTACATACAAATTCAACTTAAGAACAAACCTATAGTCCCTATCTTGTACGTAACCCGGGGACTGCCTGTATTTAGGTATAACTCCAGGAAAGTTGCTGTAATTGCAGAATACTTCTGTAACAACCACATTGCTTCAGCTTCACTGAAGAGAGGAGGGGGACCTAAACTAATGCTCCTCAAATCATGCAGTGGAATTTAGTGGCTGACTGTTTTGAGCTATTAAGAGATATTCTGAGGACAATTTGTGGAAAAATATGACAAAATGGATAGAACTTTCACAGACTAAGTGGACAACAGCAGACTAAAGAGAAACACAGAAGATATGCTGAAGTAAACAGAAACCTGTTCCATAGCCACTGTCAAACTGCAAAAGATTGCTGCTATATTGCTGATGCTATTAAAATTTGGAAAGATATTTAAGAGACATCGAAGAAAGAAATATCCAACATCAAAGTTAAATTACAAGCAGTACAAAATGGATGGAACAAGCCCTTACTCCACCTCATTTTTTTGGCAATATTCTCATTGGTAAGTACCACAAGAGATGACTAACCGCTGAAGATTTTGGCAATATTCTCATTGGTAAGTACCACAAGAGATGTCTAACTGCTGAAGAAGTCTCAGGCTATGTCTATACTACAGAGGGTTTTTTGGAAAAACAGCTGTTTTTTCTGAAAAAACCTCAAGTGCGTTTTGCACAAAAAAAATCAAAAGAAGAGAGGGGTTTTTCCAGAGTATGTTTCCTCATTCTATGAGGAAGAACTCCTTTTTGCAAACGAGCTCTTTCACAAAAAGATGTGTGGGGAAGAGGGTTTTTTGGTGCAAAAAAGGGAAAAAGCACAGGTGCCTGGTGGTCATTCTGTGCATAGCAATCAGAGTTTACTTCCGAGAGAGTGCCCATGCAGTCTGGACCCTCTCTTTCGGAAAAGCGAATCGCTTTTTCAATGTGCTTTTGCAGTAGATCGCTTTTTCGATGCACTTTGGCAGTGTGGATGTTCTCTTTGGGAAGAACTCTTAAAGAAAAGCTTCTTCCAAAAGAAGCCTGTAGTCTAGACGTAGCGTTAGAGGGGTAGCCACGTTAGTCTTCAACTTAAAAAACGTAAGCTCCCTTCACTTTTAGTGAGGGACCATTCAAATTTCTCTCAGACTGACCTGACAATCAGTTTGATTTACTGATTACAGTGAATCTCTCTGTTCAATAAATTATGGAGCTGGAGATATGTAACATGTTCTGATATTCACCATTTTCTAACATATCAAAAAATGTACAGCTAAGAATCTGAAAGTATTAAGCTAGATAATCTCTCTATATATTTTATAGTGCATGTGTCTGTCTGCAAGTCAATTTGTTCAAGATCTCCTCCTAAACAGTAAGAGATAGTGCCACCAAATTTGGTATGCAGCTTCCCCTTCTCCTAACTTAAAGCAAGGTCGGGGTTTGGTTGTGCTAGAACAACAGGAAGCCTGGGAAAAGGACTGTTTTCCATAACATGCAAAGGGAGGGATGCTGTTTTGAGGAATGTGACAAGCTGGCTACTGGGGAGCAGTAAGCTTTCAGTGGAGAGTTTATACTGCAAAGTGGCCACTGAGGGCAGCTGTACCACCAAGGGAGTGGCCAGCAGGACTGGGGCTCCACCATCTTGCCTGCCAGCATACAGAGTAAGTAGCATCCCTGCCTCAAACCCTTCATCATTTCTACACCTTGACAGGAGGTGGAAAGAAAAAAGGCACCTGGCAGGGGGAGGACTGGGGCGAGGGGAAACCAGACCCCTAGTGGGTTGCTATGTGTGTGTGTGTGGGGGAGAAAACAGGCATCTCTTCACCCCCCCAATCTTCACTCTCGCACCTGACCCCACACATTTCCAAGGCCCGGCCCTGAAGGACACTGGCAACACCATGTAAATCTGCTAGTTGCTTAAATAAATGCATTAGGGATGTTAAATATTGGTTAATTGAACCGTTGCTTACCCTCATGAATTCTTATCAGTTACTCGGCTATTCTATAATCCCTGGGAGTGGGGTTGGCAGCAAGTGCGTTCCGGCCTCACTTCCGAGGAGCTCCCCTGCCACTCCGTGCTGCTGCCTCTGTATCCAGTTTAAAAACCAGCTCCCCTCGTGCACCGAATGCTTGCCACCCCGCCGGGCAGGACGCAACAGTATGGGGTGGCAGGAAGTCCCTATCCAGGGGTGGGTGCAGTTTGAGTTCCCAGATCTGGCATGAGCTGGAACTGAGCTAGGCTGCCTGCCTGCCTAGCTCCTAATATACTTTAAATGCAGAGCTGCTGCAAGCCAGGAGTGAGCCAGGCTACTGGCCAGCCTGATAAACAATTTACTGGTAAGTGTGCGTGGGGGGGAAATGTATGTAGTCTATAGCATTAACCTATAAGTTTTTGCTTATCAGTTAATCGACTCCACTATTACAACCCTAAAATGCTTACCATCTTAAGTAGAAAAAGATGTACCAAATGTAGTGCAAAGGTTCTATGTAGCTGTAAATCAGTACATTTTAATGGTTACTTTGACAAATCATAGAATACTAGGACTGGAAAGGATCTCGAGAGGTCATCGAGTCCAGTCCCCTGCCCCCATGGCAGGACCAAATACTGTCTAGACCATCTCTGATAGACATTTATCTAATCTACTCTTAAATATCTCCAGAGATGGGGATTCCACAACCTCCCTGGGCAATTTATTCCATTGTTTAACTACCCTGACACTTAGGAACTTTTAGCTAATGTCCAAACTAAACCTTCCTTGCTGCAGTTTAAGCCCATTGCTTCTTGTTCTATCCTCAGAGGCCAAGATGAAGTTTTCTCCCTCCTCCTTATGACACCCTTTTAGATACCTGAAAACGGCTATCATGTTCCCCCTCAGTCTTCTTGTTTCTAAACTAAACAAACCCAATTCTTTCAGCCTTCC